GTATCACTTGATAAACCAAGTTACTAGAAAAACCTTAAAAAAGGTGTTTCGGTCAGTAAAAGTTACGATACGTATGTGCATCTTGTTATTCTTGTATCGATCAATAGAGAACTTGTGTTTATCAATGCTAACTGGGAATATACTCATATGTAGTGGAGAGAATCTGAGTCTCCACTTTTGGTCAATAGAAGAATTGGGTCCAATTGATAGGCCTTTTCCAAAAGATCTATCTAGAATTCTTCCCATTTAATGAGGCGTAGTAGGGGTAATTGCCTGGAATTATGCTAAAAAAATATCTATAGCTGAAATCAAAGGACCTCTAATCCACTTACTGAAGTTTCTATAAATTCTATAATGGGTGCTGGCGTTTATTTCTGCTTTGCTTTGTTGGTCTGTTTCCTGAATGGATGTATTAAGTTATCAGCCAGAAGAAAATATTTGCTAATTCTCCATATAGTTAGGATAAGGCTTGGGTGATGAATCAGCACTTAACTATTTAAATGACCATTCACAATGTTGCTAAGTTTAGAGTGATTAATTTCCTCATTGTATGCATTTATGCATGTATTTGGCCTTGTTAGAAACACAAATCATGTATGATATAATAAATTGGGTTGAACTTGTGGTATTAGCTGGCATGTGTGCTTGATTTAGGAATTATTAGGTTAGACTTTTTTTAACACAATGAAGTGGCTACTTGTGCCAAACTCTGTCGGTGTCATTTGGAGTTATAAAGTATAAATTGGATTACCAAGTAATAGGACTTGCAGTTGGAAATTTAAAATGTTTCCATACTTGCAAGGATGCTTTATACTTGATGTTTGAAATCATTTTGGATGCTTTGACCGGGAAGGTTGATCTCTGTCCTTGAAACTACTTTAATCATACAGACCACTTCACCATATAGGAAGCTTACTAGGAGTCTCAATGCTTTTAAACTCTATGAGATAATACAATATATTTCACCTCAGTATTTGGTAGGACAGATTCATTGCAATCTGAATACTGTGCATTACCTTTTGCCTGATTTATCTATGTGGATGGCAGGATCCAGCTTACTGAGTTTCTGATATCGGATTATACCCAGACATGGACAACTGATGAAGGTTTTGAAAACAGTAAGTTCTGTGCTTTAAACTTTACTCTTAATTAGATGATCCATCTCAAATTTATATTTAGCAGTTCATAAGATCCATTTTGTCATGAATCTATATCATGTGACCCACCTTATAGCTTCTACCTTTAGACCCAGTCAAACCTGTTGGCGGTCTTGTCACCCATTTCAAAAAGGTTTTAGAAGTGGATAAGGTCTGATCTGGAAAGGGTTCTCTTATGTCATCTAGTTTCTATATTATGTGGAATGCATTCAACTCGGATAACCCATACACTCAAGTACCATACGAATTTTCCTGATATTTTATCATTACGTGAATCTCTTTACTATCTCATATACTATTTTACATTTGGTGAGACAGAACTGTTTGAAGAATGGGTGAGGTCAGTTATTCACGCCCGTAAGGCATTAGAACTCTTGGAAAGTAGGAATGGGCTTTACATGCTGTACATGGATCGAGTAACTGGTGAGTTGGTTAAACAAGTTGGCCGGGTTTCTTTTCTCCCGGAACTGGATCCAGATATTCTTGATGGTCTGGTCCGCTGACTGTTGTTTGCAAAATAATCGAGTTAGAAGCAGTTGTTTCTGTTCACTTTCATTAAACTGATGAAGTTGCAGATTTGCAAAAGTTTAGATTTTCACTCTCTCTCTCTCTCTCTCTCTCTCTCTCTCTCTCTTTCTTTCTCTCTCTCTCTCTCTGTCAATATTCTGAAGTCCAGATGGATGTTGAACAGTGTTAGTTCGGATCTGCCAAATTGAGAATAAAAAGGAAAAATGACAAAAAAAAAGAATTTAAATAAAGGCAAAATCTATGGTGCATGAACTTCATACCTTGTAAAAATTTGATTTTATGTGCAGTAAATATTTCAAATTTAACATAGTTGGACTCTTAAATATCTAATAGGAGTATATGCACATCTGTCTTTCGAGTGTTTTTTTTTTTTTTTTAGGTTCCCTTGAATTTTCTGCACAATGCTCAGTTGTCTGGTCGTAAAATATGCAAAATTCAACCAAACCAACTGCAAACACAACTAGAGGAACATTGGTAAACTCAGTTAGCTATTCGATCATGGTTCACGTGGTTTAACCATCTGATTCCCAGACTTGGAAATCAGCTGTTGAAGCAGTAGAGTACTTATCTACTCAACTATCCAACCTGATGATTGGTCCATCCTTTTTTAGGTCCTCACATAGAGCTGTAATGTGGGTTGTGCCTGCTTCCATTGTAGCGGGCCGTGCCTACTTGGCATGAATGTGCAAAGAGGGAAGCTTGGTAGGGGCCCAGTTGAAGGGATGAGAGATCCATCATATGGATAGCCGAACCCTCTAGGAAGATAGGGCGAAATTTCAAAAATTTCTCTCTCCCATGTGGAAATCATATTCATTGTTTTAGAAAATTACATTTTCAATGATCAGTTTTGAACTCTAAATTGAACCGAATCTAAAATCAAAAGGTAGGAGAGAGATATACCTGATACAGAGTAGTAGTAACTTCCAATGAAGGTGTTCACGCCCAATGAGATCTCCAAAGACTGTTCCCACTGAAGATGACACAGTGTAGGGTGGAGCAGAATCAGTAGGGTGGTTCTTCAGCAAGAACCTGATTCTTCACTAAGAATCTGATGGAGGGCGAATGAGCACAACTTCAGATCAGTTTTTCTCAAAAAACTGATATCAAAAACACTTCTTGATCACTCCTACTGGTGGAGAACGAACTAGCAATGGTGGCAGCAATAGAGGGAGGCAAGAGCAGAAGAAGGCGTCAGTCTTATTGGAGTTGTCTTCTCTCTTGGATCTGAGATCTTGTTGGGTTTAAGTAGGGTTCGCCCTCCTCCTCTATTTATAGCCTTAAAGAGAGCAACTCCTAATCTCATTAGGAGTTTCCTAATCCAAATATGTATTTGGATCTGGACTCTCTTTAAGAGATAAGGATAAGCCCTTACCTTATCTGCAGATTAAGATCAACCCTCCTAATCTAATTAGGAGTTTCCTAATCCAAATCATTATTTGAATCTGGACTCTCTAAGTGGATAGGGATAACTCCCTATCCTATCTGCTGATCTAAATCCTAGAACCGCCCATCTTTAATTAATCAAATTAAACCAGTTCAATTTAGGCTTTAGGCCCATTAAGTCCATGTGCTCATTCAACCTCCAAACTGCTGCCCAGTTGGGTATTCTTGTATGGCGTGGGACCCAAACATTGATCTACACATCAGCCACATGGGTTCAGCCCAGTCTCTATTACAAGGCCTGGCCAAATTCACTGTAGGAAACAATGAACCCCTGAGCCCATCACCATGGGCTCTTTATAAAAACCCAAGGACTGTGGGCAGATGCAAGATTAGCCCATCAGGTATTACCCTCAATGGTTTTACACTTAACCTCTCAGCCCATAATGATCAAACACTACCAGAGGACCTCTCCCTCGGCTACAAGGAACAGTGCTGCACTCTCTACTCACATGGATCCCGGGAATTAAAACATTTTGCAAACATTTTGAAACCATAATATATATATATATATATTATATATATATATATATATATATATATAAATATATTTTGCAAAACAAATTTCAATGATTGAAATCGGCTGCCGACAGTTTTGGTTTCCATCAGAGAGAGTGCATCCCCGATCATTACCTTTGTTCAATAAAGGGGCTGATCCTGTCACTATGATCACCCAATCGGATGAATTCTCAGACTGTCCCAACATACCTAGGTTTTGACCCCTCTAAGGATCTCACTGATTGACATATCAAAGACAATCCAATCCGACACCTAGTGCAGTATCATTTGAGATTTAACATTTATAATTGATCATTGGACTTGTCCATGGGTTGGGCTTGAACTTGGCTTTTGCCAAAATTTGAATGGCCTGGCTTGAAGCTGGCCTAAAGCCATGTAAATTTGGGCTTGAAGCCCAGTTCGTGAACAGTAGTGAACAAATCTATTGATCATATATGAAATAATAAAATTAAATTAAAAAGGAATTACAATGTAATTAGAATAAAATAGTATAATAACATTGAAATTAAAAGTTTGCAATGAGATTGGAAAACATCACAAACAACTTTTAAATAAAACTAAAACTCAAAATTTATAATAATATTAAAATATTATATAATTATTAAATATTCAAAAAAATATTGGCTTCAAATTTTTCTTTAAGTTCTACCTCCATCTCTCTTTGCTCTATATCTTTTAATGATCTATTAGTTGAAGTATCATGTCTTTTTCAATCTTGTAGTATGTCTTCATCATCAAACCAATCATTTAGGCATATGCACATCTCTAGAGTTTCATCATTCATGCAACTTCTTCTAATATTATATTACTTGCATTAAAACAAGATTTTGGTGGAACTATGAATATGAGAGGGGTTAGTAGATAATGTGCCTTAGTGGTAAGTACATTACATCTATAGGATGTAATTATCTAACATACACAGTGTGGAATTCCACATGTGTTGATCCCATATAAATCTTTTATATTTTTATATTGATGATATAATTTTTTAAATTATTGTTTTCTTCTATTAGAAGTCTAATATATAATACAATTTCTAATTTTTGAAATATGTGGTGAAATAATATTTAAAGTTTCTTGTATACGTTTTAAAATATGACATGTAATATGAAATAATTTTCTACTTAAAATTGGTTTTAACTGAGATTTTGAAATATTTATAGAAAAATCATTGTTATTAGTATTATCGAATAAAATATGACATGTAATATGAAGCAAATTTCCACTTAAAACTGGTTTCAACTAAGATTTTGAAATATTTATAGAAGAATCATTGTTATTAGTATTATCGAAACTAATAGAAAAATTTTATTTTCAATATCATAAATATGTAAAGTATTTAAAATACTTTCTATAATTGCTAAGCCAATATGTGGCCATTCAAGTTTTGTGAAACTTATTATTATTATTATTATTATTATTATTATTATTATTATTATTATTATTATTATTATTATCATTATTATTATTTGCAAAAACCATGATTCATCAATAAAATGCCCATTAGCGTAAATATAACTAATATTGCATTTTGAAGTGAAATATTATAAGTAAGGGCAGTTTTAGAATTAAGATTTGAAAGAGTAAAATTTAAATTTTATTTATATGAAAGAAAAAAATTTAAAGCATTCATTTTTTGTAATAGTTGTAGAAACTTTTTAAATTGAGGATTTATAAATTGTTGTAAAGTGTAAACATCTTTTTTTTTTGGTAAATGAAAATCTATTAAAGGGAACTGATAAAAACATTAAGGATACATTACTATCCCCACATAAGATCTGTGGGCTCTTGCTATTCTAGCTATATGGTGAGCTTTCATGACCACAGGTCTATTAACAAAAATCAGTTCAATGTTAACATAAAAAGAAAGTAAATGTTTGATGTGTTCCTGAAGGGCCTGGACATTCCCATTAATGTTTGCTCCGGTTCCTTTTAGAGATGAAAGACTAGCTTTGGCATTAGAGAGAAGGGTCGCTGTGGTAATGCTCTGCTTTAGTAGATATCTTAGTCCTCTTGCAATTGCCCACATATCCGCTACAGCTGGGGAAGCGGCCAGGCATGGTTGTCCTTCTGCAAAAGAGTGATTCAAAGTATGAGAAATGAAATAAAGTCTTGTGGAGGTTTTCATAGTGTTCGGATTCCAAGATGTATCAACCAATATAAAATCTTCATGCACATCAAAAAGATTAATTAAGTTCAGCTCCTAGCCTGGAGTTTATTGTTCTAATGGGTCAGCACACTACGACTTGTAGTATTGGTTGGCTCTTCTGAGAACAGCCGACGGGACCGATTTGTCGTTTGTGAAGATTGCAGCATTTCTAGTATCCCAAATGGCTCGGAAGATAGAAATGAGGCGAGTAGATAATGTTTGCAGTCCTCTTTCTTGATGGCATCTTTGTTATAGGATGACCACCATGTTAGGATGTCTCTTGAGTTTGATTGCAAGAAGGCTTTGGGCTTGCAACCAGACAACTTGCACAAATGGGCATTGGAGGAAGAGATGATTTTATGTCTCCGGTTCGTCACCACAGAAGGTGCAGCTTGTGTCATTACTTCTGAGAGCTCCCCATGTGTTAGTTTTTGTTTTTACAGCTTCATGGAGAAATTTCTAGACAAATAGCTGGCATCTGTGTGGGGCTTTGTTAGCCCAGACTTTTGACCATTTAATTTCCTCCACTTCCTCCTGTTGTTTTGTAGGAGGATAGAGTAGGCCGATTTGACTGTAAAAGTACCATTGTTGGATGCCATCCATAGAAGATGCTCCTTAGATGCCAAGCCATTGATGTGAATGCTTTGGATAGCTTCAATTGTCTCTGGCCCAAACCATTCTTGTAGTTTGTTAGTGTCCCATGCTGAGTTTTCCTGCAGTAGGTCTTTGACCTTCAGGCTGGTTTGAGGAGGATCTACCCTCGACCTTGGGATGTTGCCTGGGATTCCAGGGATCTAGGGGCCTCTTAAGGCATCGACAGTAATGCCATTGCCAATTTTTTGGCAAGCACATGCCTCGAGATCTTTTAGTACTTTGAGCGAGCATTTCCACCACCATGAGTTAGTTGGCCTGGTTTTGCTGTTGAGCAGATTAGTTCCTTTCTAGTATCTTTGTTTGAGTTGGCTGGCCTATAGTGAATCCTCTGAATTTATTAGCTTCTAGATTTGTTTGGAGAATAAAGCTTTGTTGAAGGGTTCCATTAGCTTAAGGCTGAGTCCCCCCTCCTTTTTGCGCTTACAGATTTGGCTCCATTTTATGTTGTGGCCTCCATTTTTTCCTAAATTTCCATGCCACCAGAAATTTCTTCGCATTCGGTCAAGCTTTTTGTAGATTGCTGTGGGTAGGAGAGTGTGTAACATGGTGTACATGGGTATGCTTTGAGAGACTGCTTTGAGAAGGGTCAGTTGTCCTGCCTAGGAAAGGAATTTGGCTTGCCACATGTCCAACTTTTTGTTTACCTTGTCTATTACTTCATTACTTGCTGCTATTTTGTTCCTGCATTTGAGAGCTTAGCTCCTAGGTACCTTGAGTGGAAAGACGCTAGTTTCATGTCTACAAGTCGACTGGGAAGCTTTTGGTGTACTCTGTGGGTGTTTTTGCTAAATAGGATTCTAGATTTTCCCTTGTTGAAGTGCTACTCTGATAGCTTTTCAAATGTGATGAGAGTGGTCTTTATGTCTAGTAGGGCTTCCGGGGTAGCTCTACTAAAGATAATGCAGTCACCGGCAAACGAGAGATGGGAAATTGGAGCAGAGTCTTTGGCAATTTGAATTCCTTTGATGCTTCCATCTTGTTCACCTTTGTGAAGTAGGGCTGATAGAACCTGCATTTTTAAGATGAACAAATAAGGTGAGAGTGGGTCTCCTTGCTAGAGACTCCATTTTGTTGCAAAGTGTTCATGGATGTTGCCATTGAGCTTAATGGAATAGGAGGTTGTGGATATGCATTGCCATGCCATTTTAAGCCACTCCTTTGGGAATCCCATTTTCCTCATTACTTGGATTAAAAAATGCCAACCCATTCTATCAAAGGCTTTGGCCATGTCAATTTTAAGCACTGCCCATTTCTTCTTGCCTTTTTGGGTTTTCAATTTATATATGACCTCCTTGGCTAAGATGATGTTGTCTGTTATACTTCGGCCCTCAATAAATACTATTTGGTTATGGTCAATTAAGTCATTTAGAATTGGTATGAGCTTGTTTGCCATTACTTTTTCTATGGTTTTGTACATTCTAATCCATTCCACCTGTGCCTGTAATTTGTTCCTTGGTGGAAGAATTTAGTGTTTCTATCTCCCTCTAGCAAACACAATTCCCTTGACTTTAGTCTCCAGAGTTGTTTTTCATATTTCAACCAGTTGTATTATTGGTCCTCTAGTTCTTTGAGCCTGCTGCCTGAGTGTTTCCTTTCCTCCAGAAGTTCAGCTTTTGTCTTTTTTAGAGTGGTGGTGATTTCCCAAAAGGTCATTTTGTTCCAAAGCCTTAACCCCTTTTTAATTGCTTTTAACTTGGTTGCTATTTTGTATGTTCCCTCATGTTTTGCCCACATTAGTAGGAAGTGAAAGGGTTTCTTCCCCTCATGGTAGGGAGGGGATGTGGTGAGTATGAGGGGGTTGTGATCTGAATTTATTACAGGTAGAGCATGGAGCTTGGCGTTTTGAAACCAGTCTAGCCACTGTGGGCTTGCATAGGATCTGTCAAGCCTTTCATGGACTTTTCTGTTTGTCCAAGTGAAGAAAGGGCCAGAGCACCCTAGATCAAGGAGACCGAAGTGCTTTATGAAGTTCTGTAAAGGTTGTGAAGTGTGAATTTTGCTACTTGTGCCTTCATAATTCGAGGTGCAGGTTATATCATTGAAGTCTCCAATTGCTATTCATGGCCTGTCTAGTAAATAAGCTTTGGATGTGATTAGGGAGTTCCAGTAGTTCTGTCTATCTCCTCTACTGGGATGTTTGTAGAGAAGTAGGATGGACCAGCTATGGTTTTGGGGGTTTGATTCGACTCTCAACTCTGTGTCTTTGGGAAGAGTCAATTATTTTGATGGCTATATTCTCTTCCTTTCCCCCCTAATGTTTTAGGACAAGATTCTCATATTATTGTTTATTAAAAGGAGATGCAAGTTCAACTAGTAAAACAGGATATAATAGTAAGATTTCAGTGTAAGTAAAATGGACAGAATTATTGCATAGAAGGTGTTGAGTACCTTGACCAGTACAGATATAATGGGAGTGGCTTGCTTAAGGCAGGGTCCTAGTTCTCGGTCCATGTGGCATCATCCAACATGTGGAGAGGTTCCAGTTGTGATGGGTTTTACTCACTTTCAGGTTCCTGTGGTTGGGCCGGAGTCATAAGGACCGAGTTCTCTTTCTTGAGGGTAGCTATCTAGCTTCGGATGTAGGCCCCACATGTCGCCAGTTGTTCTTCATTCTTCTCGATGTTGCTTGGGTCATGATTAACAAAAGTTGGGGTAGAATTCATCATTGCAACTTTATAACACGGTAATCGCCACCATGCTGGGCATGGATTCCAAGACCCGACTTTCTTTCATCTTTGCCCGAGTCATGGATTGAGTCAACTCAACACGCTTTCTCTTTGGCATTTCGCCTCCTTCGACTGGCTTGATCTCCTGCTTCTGGGATGCCATGCTTCTTTGTCGGTTTCTTTGACCTTCCGACGCCTCTAGTGCCTTGGCCTTTTCTCTAGGAGTTCGTCTTCCGAATCCTTGTCTGAACTAGAATCTCTCAAGATTATCTGTGACTGTTTGCATGTAGTTGGTGTAGCTTGGTAGGTCAAAATTTTGAGTGGTTTCTCCGGTTTAAATTCTGCCTTTAACCATTCTCTTGGCGCTTCTATTGAATGGTTCTCTAATTCAGTGAGAATCTCTTCGTGGGAGATGCCTTGTGGGATTTGCCTGCATTTCTTCCATTGATGCCCTACCAGGCCGCAGAAAGAGCAAAGACGGGTGAGACCTTCATACACAAAGCGTATCCATGTTGGACTTCCTGAGTGCTTGAGGAAGAATCCTCGGAAGAGAGGTTTCCGCAGGTCAACCTCTACCCACATACGGACCATTCTTCCTCGAGAGGGTTTCCCTAGGGTTATGGGATTTGGGTTGTCCAACACCCTTCCAACGGCACTGACAATCAGCCTGCAGTTCTTCTTTGAGATGTGGCTGCGGGGGATGTTGAAGAGCTGGACCCAAAGGTTCTGGTGCCATATTTTTGTTTTCTCACTTGAGGATCCATCTTTCCACTTGTCTAGGAGCATCCAGCTTGAACGAATAAACCACAGTCCTCCTTTCTGTATGTGCTGCAAGTCTTCTTCCTTGTCGAAGATAAAGACCCATCCTCCACTATTGTTGTGGTCGATTTCAACTCTAGCGCTCAAGTTCCATGTGTTCTTTACAAAAGCCTTAATAATTTCCTCATTTGTATTCTTGGGAAGATTCTTCCCCTGAGTGTGTGTGCCACCATGTCAAGGGCTTCTGTAACAGGTTCAATGTGGATTTCATAGACTGTACCTGATAGGGTTGCATGTTGCGCCAGTTCCTCACCCAGTTCTTTAACTTTCCTATATCCATTGAGGTTGACGGAGTTTCCATTTTCTGCTTGTTTGCAGGGCTTTTTGTTTCCGCCATTAATGGACCACAGAGCGTTTAAACAGAAATGAAGGGCTTTGGTTGAGGTAGATTGAGTTGAGAGTGATGGGAGTGTTTTGAGTGGTGTAAAGGAAGAGACTGATTGCCTTACCGAGCCAGTGGTTTTGGGACCCTGTGCCTCTTCACTGCAATAGTAGCAGCTCGTAGGCTAGGTTGATGGGACCTATTGCCTCATCTTATTGGAAACTAGTAGCAAGGTGCAAGTTTGGATCAGCAACGGAGTGTGAAGGATTTGATTAGCAATGGAGTGCGAAGGATTTGTGGCCTGTGAACTAGCCAAAATCGAATTGCTTCTTCCTGTTGGTCCTGGGAGTTCTCTTCACCAAAAGAAGTTGAAGGATCAATGTGCTGGAATTGAGTTGTTCTACAGAGGACGAGAGATTATGTTTTGTGCTCTTTCAAGCTTAGGATCTTCAGAAAATAAAAATAGTTGTTTAGCATGTACAATATATTTTGTTAATTCTTATCTCATTTTTACATATGAATATTGAAAATTACCAAAAGCATTGTGTGCAATTTGTGTTTGGTATACATCATTTTTTTTTTCACATGTGATGCCATGTGTCTAGCTAAATGGTTGGTGCTGCCACTACTTTAGTAGTTAAAATTATTTTTGCATTTATTCGCAAATTGTTCTCTTTCCCTTTCCTTCAACATCTTCTCTAGTGTATTTTCCGATCTTGGGAAGAACTGACTATTTTAATAAATGTAAAATATTAAGACCATAAAATTTAGAAAAAAAAATTAACTATTACTTACCCAGTCTATTGGTTTGATATCCCAACTTGATTTCAATTCATGGAGCTTTTAAACCTACCAAATTGCTATCTTGGATTTATGGCATTGGGTCAATGGACAAGTGTCCAACTAGGTAGGATTTTAAGCCACAATTTCTCAACTACCTAGCCAAACCTTTGACTGTGCCAAGAAGGTTCTCTATTGACATGGCTAAAGCTTGTTTCCAATCGAGGGCCTTTGGCCACTTACCAACAAAACTTAGAATAAAGTTGAGAAATAGAGATTAAGAGAGTGTATGAGAGTTGTGATGAAAATGAAAGAGGGTAAAGGTATTTATAGGAGTTGGGAATTATTCAATTGACCAAAATACCCTCCTAAACTAGTTGTTTATAGTTGTTGGAAGGGTCTTTTTGATCTTTATAAAGTTAATTTATCACTTTACCAAGATGCCCCAAATTAGACTAGTTGTGTGGAGGCATTTAAGTCATTTTTTGCCTTTAAGGCAAAATACATAAATACCCTTACAAACTAGTTGTTTATAACTATTGAGAGGGCACTTTGTTAAATTTGGATCCATGCTAGGCTATGCTGGTATGGGCCATTTTCTCGGGCCGAGACATGCTGGCACGTGGGCCTCAACCCCCTCTGCCCAACACGGCCTAGGGTTATAGGCTGTGCCTATGCAAGGCTAGCGGTGGCAATTGGGCGGGTTGGGTTGGGTTTGGTTTGGTTTGGGTTGAGCTTCAACCCAATCCATCTAACTCGCCAACCCATTAATGACCCAATTATATAAAATTAAATGGGTTGGTTTCAACCCAAACCCACCTTTACTTAATTCAACCCGCCCAAACCCATTCGTTTTATATTTATGTACTTAAAAGTTAAAAGTAAAAACTAACTCCTACTTAACAAACAAGTTGGTCATAGCTTAGTGATAATAATGGTTACTATTTACACAAGTGGTGAAGGTTTAAATCACATTACATATTTACATGCATATTAGTTTTATACAAGTGGTGAAGGTTCAAATCACATTACATACATATTATTTTTACACAAGTTGCAAAGCCATTGACTATGTTTGGGTCAGGTTTGACCAAACCACTTAGGTTCAAATTGGTTAGACCAACTTGAACAATCTAAGTGGATTTGTCTTCAAACTAATAACACCAAGAGTAGTTAAACCATTTGGATTAGGATTAGTCTGGTCGGATCAGATTGGACCAGTTCAATCAATAGCGGATTGACTTAGGCCGGCCCATATTGGATTGTGCACGAGTATGGGACTGAGCCGACTAGTTCTAAGTAGATTTGTTCATGGGCCGGGAGCCGGGCTCGGGCCGGTCTTTTACTCATCATTAATGGAAATACGCTAGGCCCGAGCCCGAGCCCGACCCAACCAACGGGCCTATAACTTGGGTCCAAGCTTGGCCCTGATAAAAAGCCCGAAGCCCGATCCAATAAAAAAATTACAACTTTCCCTATTCAAATTAGAATTAAAAATTCAGGTGATTTTTTTTTTCTATTTAAATGAACAATGAGCTTACAAGATGGTTTTTTTCCCTTTCTTTTACGTTTTAAAACACAATTTTACATTCTTAAATCAAAAAATTTATTCAAATGGACATAATCACATAACCCATTTTAAGTATAATTTTAGGTCGGGCCAGGCTATTTTGACAAAACCCGAACCCAGCTCGAATTTATTGCGGGCCAGGCTTTTTGGCCCGAGTTTAAGCCCGCGGGCCTATAAACATGTTCAAGCCCGTCTGGGGGCCGGGCCGGGCCGACCCGTCGGGCCACCCGGCCCATGAACAGGTCTAGTTCTAAGGGCAGGGGGCATGCCGGTCCAAATCCGGGTCGGGCTGCACCATGTTTGGGTTGGGTAGGTCCAACCTGAAACAAGCGGGTCGTGTCACTTTAGGTCGGATCGGATCTGGACTGAACTGGTTTACCTGTGACTGTTGCGGAACCGGGTCGGGTCGACCTGAAGTGGATATGAAGACGAGTGGTCCGTGTGGCTTCGGGTTGGATCGAATCTGGCCCGAACTGGTTTTGTTCTTAACTGTTTGTGATTTGGGTCGGGTTGCATCGGAACATGCCGATATAGGTGGGTTAGGTTGCTTCAGGTTTGATCAAACCAGATCTGGGTTGAATCGTTCCAGATTTGAGTCAGATTAGATCTCTCCATACTAAATCGGGTTGAGTTCAGAGTAGGCTGATCGACCCAAACGAATCAAACCGAGGTGATTAGGTCTGTTCATATTCAGACCGGGTTGAATTGTTTCAGACTGGTCTGGACTCGGGTCGGGTTGATTTGGATTTATGTTGATTCGGGTGAAGTGTGTTGATTCGAGGAAAACTAATATTAGTAATTAATTAATGCATTAATTATAAATTATTTCACTCAACTGAAGAAAATTAAAAAGAAAAAAAGCTAAGGAATTCATACTTGTATCTTTAGTGGTTAACCCAATGGTTATCTACAACCCAACCCAATCAAATCCAAGCCATTTAAATTGACCCAATGGGTGATCAACCCATTTCCAACCCGCCAAGTAAATGGGCGGGTTGGGTGGGTTCAATGGGTTGGATGAAAAATTGCCACCCCATGCAAGACTGGTACCATAACACATGGGCCATGTTGGCACGGCCCTGATCGTGGCTGGTCGTGTTGGCCTACTGGCAGCCTGGCCCGTTTTACATATGTACACGTAATGAATAAGGAACGAGCCTAATCCATATCCAATCCTCACAATTCACACTATCAAGAGGATTCTTTGATAGTGTTGAATGGATCTATTGGTTTTGCTACACACTCTTCTTTGGATAGTCATGCGTATGTGCTTTTTCTGTCTGAAGCATTTCTTTCCATCTTGAATAATAATTCATAAAGGAAAGGAATTGCTTGCAAAATAGAAGACCCGCACGTGCATTTAAGAGAACATTTTCAGCTTGATTTCAAATCCTGGCCTTTTGATCTCATTCTTTTTAACTGTGATTGTTTCAGGAAACTAGCGAGTAGCATCCTTGGAATTTTTTTACTACCTCGAGCTTAAATGTTCAATATTCAGTATTACTCAGGCGCCATGCCCAGTCCAGTAGTCTAGTAAGATTAGGAATGGTATTCTGATGGGAGACGTTTAGATTTGTAATTAGTTCAGCATAAGTAGAGATTTAGGGTGGTAAGAGAACCGGATCTTTTACACTGTTTTCCTACACTTTCATTATCATGTATATTGGTGTTTACACACGTAAAAGAGACACTTGCCACATACTGAATGGAGCTGCAAAAAAAAAAAAAAAAGTGCAGGAGATACCGAATCCATTGATAGGGCTAGTTGCAAACAAGGGTTTATCCTTTCTTCAATGACCAAAAAGCATGGAATAGAGTAGGAAGATTTTTATGTCAAAGAACAGATCTTTTCCTTTTTATTATTTCCCTGATTCAATAATAAAAATTTGAGTTTATTACTAAACTAAGTACGTACAAAGGTAATAAATCATAATAAGTACAAAAAATTTGTAATTATTAAATATTACAAATAACAAATGAACCAAAAAATTAACTAACTAATTATTTTATATTGGATGAATCATGAAACACTCTTCGTTTTTTTTTTTTTTTTTTTTTTGCTCAAGAAAACACTCTTCTTAACTCTTAAGAGCTAACATCTCATGTAATATTGACTGAATGAGTTGTAATGACCCGAGTTTTTGTGAATTTCCCTAAGTCATACTGAAATTGCTGAAGTGAGTGGTATGGGCCGAGTTAACAGCCAGACTCTACACAAGATACACTTGAGAGTTTTGGAAGTATGATGTGGAACGTCCTCTTAGCTGTAGTAGCCTGTAGGTTAAGCTAATTAAATGTGAGATTTCCTCGGTATGTGGTCTGAGGCCGTAGTGGCCCATCCAAACCTTGGGGAATGGGGAGAAACTGAACAGTGAGCAACCAAAGTGATGGTAGGTGTAGATGCTTGATCTAGATTGATTACCACATCCACCATTTTGGGCAACTACTTCCACCAAGCACCAACTAGTTGGCTTGAATTTGTAATGGGATTCAACTTCAGCCATCATTAAGTTCTTAATTTTCTCTGTAAGAGATGGGGAAGAAGATCACATGCAATGGTTGCATTTCATGTGGTCTGTCTATTAAAAGTGATAGCCCTCTCTAAGCCATCCTGCAGGCTTTTTTTTTTTTTAACTTTTCATGTTAACCAGTACTGTTAAATACTGTTAATCAAATCTTCTTCAATCTAAATACTGTTTTGCCCATCTTAATAGCTTTATATTTAATTCTTCCCTTAAATCTGAAATTTGAAAACTTCAAAGTGGAAAGCTTGATAGTCTATCCTTGTGCTTCATCTTTATGAGAGAATAGATTTTTCAAAAGAAAATCAGTTGGGAGGTCTTTCACGTGCTGGGCTTCAGTGGTACTTGGAAATGTAAGAAACTGTGGATTATCTTCTAGAGCTTCCTCTGTCCAAAGAAAGCATCTTTCGTTTCCTTTTGACTAGTCTATTAAACTGTGGAGAGCTGGGGTCCTCGATCATTAATTTCTTGCAGTGTATGGTCATGTGAATGTATATCCCCTAGGCCGATCATTAAAAAGAAAGCATCATAGTGAAGGATAAATCAAATCAAATCAAATGTTGTATTCGATATTATATGGGCACAACCCTTTGTTGATAATTGATAAAGGGGATATACCCCCGATTAGTGATTAATTATTATTCAAAATAATGTCATTAGAATATCAAAGATGCCTCTATCTATTCACTTTTAAGCTGTGTTTGGCTTGAAAGAAAAGGTAAGGAAAGGTTTGAAAGAAAAGATAGGGAAATCCGGTAATTCTCTATCTTTCCCTTCCTTCCCTAACTTTTCTTTCAAACCAAATACAACCTTATTAAAACAAATGGTGCCGTCTTTATCTTTTATGTGCCTAATTTATCAAAAAATGGGGTGTGCCCAAATCACTCCCCAAACCAAAAAAAAAAAAAAGAGTAGACATTAGAAGCCTTTTACCATAAGGTACAACCTGGTCTAGCTTGCTATCAAGAGTACTTTTTGGGAAGCATTTTTCCGGTATAAAAAGGAGTGAAAAGCAAAACTCCACTCTAGAATGAAAAGGGACATCATGACCTCATGCCCATGTTGTTGGATTGGAATCTTTTGTTAGAATTAACTAAGTTATTAAACAATAAAAAAGTTTAAAACAAGTAAGGTAAATATCACTATTCAACTATGTTTAATAAATCTAAGAAAAGCAATTCTTATTCAATAGGGTTCATTCCATAAAGCAGACATACCCAGCAATGAAGAGAAAGAGAGAGAAGTGCTAACTACTGAGGATAATTCCTTTGTTTTATTTTTCCCCATTTACATATCTAAATACCTAACTTTACTTTTTGGTAATACCTAACATTACACACTTGATGAACATGAAATGAAGGACCCAGATGGACCACGGACGGCTAACTGCCTGGACTAATTTGCAGCGAAGACTCTTATCTTACACTCAAATGGAAACTCTAACCAAGTAAATTTGGATCAATTCTATAAATTATGGCAGGACGATAGGGGCCTGCTATCTGTCTCAAATCTCTGTCGTTTTCAAGCCCTCATGGTGAGGATCGCACCCAGAAGGCAAAAACACACGTAGACATGGATAATTGAGTTTCAGGTTTGCTCATGTAAGTTAGTAGTCTGCAGGCCACAAACACCAAAGCTTCCCCATCTCCAGAGAGGAAGCTTCTTAGCTCGAAACAGATGCCTGAGATGAGATTGTTACTATCTGTTACACTTATCACCTTACTGCTATCATTTCTATTCCCTCTATGTTCAGCCCTTGAACGTGTCTGGGTTCCAGCACATGGAGATTCTGGTTCTCTTACCCAACAAGAAGTGGAAACAAGCAAGGCATCGTGGGTTCTTCATGTTGCAGATGCTGACAGAGAGAGATTAAATGCTTATCGTTTCTTCCATGCCCGGAAGCTTGGCGTCCACAGGAAGAGAAAGGGGCGGTTGATACCTGGAGGCCGCACAAGATCTTCATCCGGATTCCGACCATCAGTATCTTATAGCCATGTTTGTTCTGTTATTGCTTCTTTCATTGTCATTAATTTCTTCTGATGTTAGTTAGTTAATACTTAATACAGTGATTTAATTGACAATATGCAAATAATTACAAGGAAGAATCTCTGTTATTCTCTCTCAAAAGAATTACAAATGGAAGAATCTCTGGGCTACTACTTCTGAGTATGTTTTGATCGTGGAGGCCTGGGGGGCTTCTTCTATGTCTAGTCTCTAATCTCCTTTATCTTTTTGCTTTTCTATTATGTTTTCTGGGTATAGTGCAAAGGCTATAGACCTCTTTCTGGAGAGAATCGAGAGATCCCTTCAAACCACTCTTGTTGTTGATGGGCAATTCGGCCGGGCGTAAACGAGTTCATATATCCTCTAATAATTGGCTTGCATCCTTCTTGATGACTAAGTCGTGTACCAGACCAGTTCCCCATTTATGCAGATGTAGTCAGGCTTCTTTCTAGCTTTCCCTCAGTCCGAGCTCTATTCATTTACTTTATCTTGGCTGGATTTCGTAGCTTTAATTTAAATTCTGATCAGAATTATTTTGTTCGGTTTGATACTTTGGTCTTTGATGTAAGAGATTGTGGCCCATCCACACACCTTTAGATAAATGCATGCGTTAGGTCATGGGTGTTTTCCCTCTGGCAGCAACCAACAAGTGCGCAACCAAGCGATGACTGTGGGTTTCCACCAAAACTGATGACTATCTCTTTTAAAATTTATTGTTTTTCTAAAGGGTGTGATGATGCTGGGCTCATGCTCAGTAACTCAGTAGCCGTACCTTGTTTTTATCACTTACTGGTCCGAAATTTTAGAAAATAAGCTAATAAAATTCTAAATATACATTAGTTTTTGCCTTTTTTTGTCCAAGGACTGAACATATAAAGGGTCCAGAGTTCTGCAGTTTATTCTCAGTGAACGCTCCCTTGTTTTCATTACCCACTCATTCTTTCTAATATGGGATGGTGAATGAATGATTAATTCATTAATTATCCTCCACTTTGTACTAGCTTTTCTCTTTCTGTCTAGCTAGCAGCTTAATTAGCCTCTCATTAGGGAAATGAATGATCAATATTCACATACTCAACATAAACAAAATGGTTAGTTATCATATGGAATCATATTGTGAAAAGTAAAAACAATCTGTACTATTCATATTTGCATAGCTTCCATGATCTCTCTCTCTCTCTCTATATATATATATATACATATTGCATAGCTTTTTCTCTTTCCACCATCATATTTCTGTTACCTTTGGTTCCCCACCCACCCCAGAACCAAAAAGGAAAAGAGAAACTCAAATGATATGAAAGGAGATTCAACAAATAACATATATGGCCTGGATGCTAAACCATTATTTTATTATTATACTGTTATCGAAGAGAAGCCTTGGTGTTACTTTAATTTCTCTCAGTGTGGGATTTGTATCTCCGAGAATTCATATGGGAAAAGTACTACTAGTTGTACATGTTGCACATCAGGGTTGTAAATATTTCATCCATTTTTGTAGATTTACAGCCTGAGTGTGCAAAATAGAATGCCTAATTATTAGTATTGAAGTCCATGGTACTGGTACTGCAAGCATATTCTGTAGTATAAGTTTGATCAAGAAAATGCTTGATCAATAGTGAAAGATAATTGAATGCTCTACATTCCACAAGAAACGGGAAAGAGAGAGAAAATTAATTGGGACACACTAAGGATTGCTGGAAGCCTGTCTGGAATAAAATTGTCATCCTTGCCGAAAGTTGGAGTTTCTTTCTTTTTTTTTTTTTTAATTTAAAAGGGGAATTTTTCCTCATTAATTAAATTATACCTAGCTATAAAGTGGATTTTCTCTAATCTTCTTTTTTTTTTGCTCAGAATTATATCCAAATCTAGAATCTGTCTAAATCTCTACCCAACTTTAATTTCAAAAATTAGTCTGATAATTGTACAAAGAGTCAAAGACATTAAATATTGCCCCTTAATTTCAAGTTGTCATCCTTGCCGAATGTTGGATTTTCTTTTTTTTTTTTAAATTTAAAAGGGAAAACTTTCTCATTAATTAAATTATACCTAGCTATAAAGTGGACTTTCTCCAATCTATTTTTTTTTTTTTGCTCAGGATTTTCTCCAAATCTAGGATCTCTGTCTAAATTAGTCTGATAATTGTACAAAGAGTCAAAGACATATTAAATATTTCCCCTTAAAACAAGTGATTTAACTGATAAGACCAAGGATTAGATTTTATCCATTTGAATGCACTTTTTAAGATGTTTTCCCAGAGACAGGAATACATAATTATCTTTTTTAATATCACTACTTTTAATTCTAAATTCTGAATATTAAAATATTTCAATAACCTTTATAAGTTAAAAAACGTATTCTTCATGCATCAAATTTGAAAAATCCATGTTGAAGATTGTACAAAAAACAAGGCTTTTAATAGCTTTTAGTTAAGTTTCTTCTCAAAAAATATACAATTTATTATGATTACTTAAAAAAGAAGAGATCATCTAAGTTTGGGGACCTAGAACCTGCATTTTCAATTTTGGATTGCCATAATGTGCAAAGCTTAGAGGATTGCGACAAAACATTTGATGGATATCCCACATAGGGGAAGATCCATGCAATAAAACAGGGCCATTACTTGGTGAAATGGTAAAGTCTTAGGCTGGAGAGTGTGAAAATGTGGGTTCAAGTCTGAGGGCAGCCATTTTATGCGAAAAAAATGCCTAAGGTTAGGACTGTATCTAGTCTACCCCTCCCAAGACCCCAATATATATCTGGGACCAACATTGGATAATTGCATTTTAGATGACCTTATAACATACTTTTATTACATTGCTTTTAAAGAACAAATACATAGTTTGGATAAGATATTAGTTTATTTTTGCACATCTACTTTCCAAAGTCTGACCTGTTGATTGGTAATCTTGATCCTATAAATATGGAACAAATTGTGGCAAGTTATAAGGACCCAGACGGTTCAAACAGCTCCTGTCCCTATATCCATTCTTTTGCTAATTAAAGTAGAAGCCTATGAATTTAGGTTGTAATTTAACCATATAAACAATAAACCTTATAGAGATAATGAACATGGGATTATCTTTCTTTAGCTCAATGTTAAGGAATATTTGTCATAGCTAAAATTTCAGGTAAATCTTGACAAATTGAGGATAATAGGCTGGTAAAGAGGAGAAATTGTTGGATCTTGTGCTGATTTTATTCTTGGTGTTCTTGAAAGATTGACGAATGGTGATAGTTGGGTGAAGGCCAAACCCCATCTTTCTCTTAAGTACTAAACTTCAAGATTTGGTCCCAAATCTCTCATTCTAGATCTATGTTTTTAAAATCACAAAATACAGCTATGAGACTTATAATGTTCCCATGTATTCAACATATCCACAATATTGAAACTTTGTTGTAATTAACTTTAGTAGTGGTAACAAATCCAATATTAGTGCTATTAGTTTGTCTATATATATATATATATAGTTTTGTTATTGTATGGTCTATGAGACCCATATCTTAAGGTGTGGAATTTGACTTCTTAGTGCTCAGTTCCCCATAATAAACCAAAACCCTTAATTGTAGTAATTAATAAAATTTAATCTGTTAGTTCTGAAGTTTTGCAGTGCAAGTGTTCAAAATCCTCTAATAGGCTTTGGGAAGATAGACCTTTTAAGTAGTTTAATAGTTGCTACATGAAAGGAACTGAAAGGGAAGGAGAACAACCCCCTCAAATGATCATTGACCACCCTATCATTATTGGCATAAACTATTAGATGAAAGGAACTATTATTGGCATGAAAGGAACTTTTAAGTAGTTTAATAGTTGCTACATGAAAGGAACTGAAAGGGAAGGAGAACAACCCCCTCAAATGATCATTGACCACCCTATCATTATTGGCATAAACTATTAGAGTCAACACTTCAATGGTGTTGTTTGGATCATGGAAGAAACAAATAGTGAAAAAGGATTAGCAAGATCCACTTCACCATTCAACTCTAAAAAAAGGTGAAACATAGAAAGCAGTGATTTTTTAGTTGTGGTGGCTGCTGAATTGGCATGATGAAGACTTATTTTGGTTGCCTAACTATGAATTTCACTATATCCACTTTGAAATCCTTATAATTCATGCTTTGATATATATTTTTATCTAAATAATACTCAATTGATTAGCGAATCGATTCGTTCACCACAGCATTGCTAATGCATTTCCCAATCAGCAAGATAACATGTCCCGAGTCACCCTCGTGTTTAATGCTGTAAAAGCTTTGAGGCATTCTCCAAGAAGAAAGGTAGGCATCCTATTCTCTTAGGGATTGTCCAACTAGTAATGAGGTTCATTAACAAAGTGCTAATAGAAGTTGGCCCTGTTGACTGTTGCACTTTCAAAGGAAAGATCTCTTTATCTCTTTTCCAGTCCCCACAAGAGGGGCCTGCATTCCAATATTCTAAGATGCCTTTCTCTCCATGAGATCTTTCTTGAATGTTTTTTTTAACAAGTTTAAAATATCAAGGACATAGGTTAAGATAGTCATCATGGTTTAATTTGGAGGTTCATAAACAGTGAATATAACCTTTGATAGGGTAGAAAAAGAACATTAGTGTTGTAACCTATATGGTTGGGATAAGTATTTGTTGAATTGAGTTGAGAATTGAGATGCCTTGATCATATTGATCAAAATTAACTAACACTGCTACACTAAGACAAGAAAATTATAGTTCCAGGTCCATTCAGGTGGAGTCGAATAAGAATTAGATGGTAAATCAGCATCTCAAACAAAATTGCATAATCTTGAGTACTTTCTATTTTTTAGAGATAAATCTCCAGCTTTTCTTCATTTTCCAGAAGAATTCCCACTTTCTTTGTGCATAGCATTGCTTATTTTGTCAGCTTATGGATACCACACACTGAGATTTATTAATTTTTTTCTTGGTCTTTTTTTTTTTTTTGGGACCACCTGTTTCCTGTATTTATAGAAACCATATACTTCCCAAATGAAAGTAAGACTCTTCTGAGTGTTGTCCAATTGATTACTATAACACTACCCACCTCCCCTATCCTTCCCATACGTGAAATAAAACAAAAAGAAGAAAGAAAAAGCTCAAGATGAATTTGCTCACACTGGTTTTCTTCATTTTATACTTTCAAGCTTGTTGGAGTTCAGCCAATGAAATCAGTGTCACCCCAAAACAAGCATGTCCAGAGATTTCGAAACATCTTCTACAAGTGAAAGAACTTCAAGGTAAGATTTTATACGTTGAAGCATTTAGATGCTCGGAGCCTGATTTTGTTTAAAATAATGAGGAGAGAACAACATAAAACTGATTTTGTTTAAAATAATTTTCCTCGTATGTATGAGTATTTGCAGGTTCAAATGATACGATTCCACTGGATGGAGAAAGTAAGCCAATAAAACATGAGGCGAAATTAAACCTGCAGACTGTGGAGAGAGGCAAGAAAGGAGGGAGGGGAGGAGGTGGTGGTGGTGGTAATGATGCGAGACCACATATACGAAATAGTGCAACTTCCTTCATGGCAAGGCCCTCTTCATACATCTCAACCAACCTGGTGCAAATTTTCATTGGAGTGCTCATTATTAATTTTCTTGTCTTCTTTTGAATAGTTGGTCTGGTTTCCTTGTTTAAATTTGGAGAATAGCTTCTGTGTTTCTCCTTTTGGTTAAACACTGGTATAATTAGTTATCTAATAATCATTCACCAATTAGTCCTTTGGATTTAAAAAATATTGTCCTTATTATATGGTGAATCTAATCATTCTCTCCATCCCTCCCTTCACCCAACGAGGAAATATTATGCTTCCAATACCACAGGTATATTCAATTCAAAATAACAAAACTACATACTGGGAGAGGCAATGGTTCCGGTCAGGTCTGGTAGTCATCCCAACTTGACCAGTTGGGATGGGTTTGATACGTAAAACCCTAAAACCAGTCATCGTTCAGGCTGGTTTTCAAAAGGGGTCGTTTATGAAAGAAAACTGGAGAAATCCTAATGAGTTATCCGGTTATTTGTCAAACAAAAAGGGTTTTTCACCTGTCCAGGTTTGTAAAAGGAAACATAGGAAATAGAGCCAAGTTGGTGTTTGCTGATGAAAGAGTGAGCTTCGTTGGAGTGATTTGAGAGGAAATTTAGGGAAGGAGGGTCGGGAGACGCCACAACCTACTGTTACTGACCTACTGCAGCTCTTCTCCTATATTTTCTTGTCGGTAGTTTCAGCTGTTGCAGCAAGATCTAGCCAAAGCTAATAACCTAGCAACCAAAAGCAGTTTCGTGGGGACAAAAATGGATAAAGTAGGTCAAAATAATAGCAGGAGCTAGAAAATTTCCCTATGAAGCGAATTTTGAATTTTAAAATTTACAAGCTAGATGGATATTTTAGGGATTTTGTGGGGCAGAGAGAGAGAGAGAGAGAGAGAGAGAGAGAGAGGAGAGTTTGCTAGTGTGAATGGGTAGGCTTATTTGATATTTACGGAAACCTACTTGTCACCGTATTTCAACTGATATTTCTGAAATCTGTATACATGATTCCGGACGGGTTGAAGTTGAATTGCATATGGAGTATGGGCACTTAGCTTCCGATCGCCACTAACATAATATTTGATCCTTATAGCTTGTTTACTATCGACTTGTTTGACAGACTGGTGACCGGAAGACATGAACGACTGCTTTTTCTAGGGTTGGAGGACATATGCATGCGTCCAATACTATGCGTTTCACACTTTGATTTAGGGTTTAGAGTTTAGAATCTAGGGTTGGGTTTATATGAAAATCGAAAGGTGGTTTGACGCTTTCTTCCAAGTTCCGACCATGGTAGGAGCGATCGAAGTAGAGCCCAAACATGAACGACTGCTTTTTCTAGTTGATGCATGAATCGCTTTTGATAACTACAGGCCAATGCAACTTCAGAAGGAAAACAAATTTAATTCAGTACTACATAGGATTTAAACTGGGTTGAGATTGAGAATAATCAATCGATTCCAATCTCAAAATAAACTGTTCTCTGATAAAGCCAACTTATTATTGTGAAAAACTGATCCAGATGCATGGGGGATTTTGATTTCATCGGAGTCAAAATATCTAATCCAAACCAAGAAACTGAAACTTGGGGATTGTAGCAGGTGGAATGAAGAGCTTTCAGGGTTATTATAATCCATGAGCATCCAATTAACTACATTGGCATTTCCATAGCAATTGTTGTCAATTAATGTAAACGACTTCCTGGGAAGGTTGAGATAAACAAGAAAAAAATTAATTTGATTAAAGGTACGCAGTTAGGTTTTAAAGAGGAGCGAACCAAAAGGATTTGGTTACATCAAGGTGCAGAAGTGGAATAGGAAACGGATAAAAGCGCAAAATTTTGAATCTCACTGAAGAGGGGAAACCAAAATGACTACGCTCCTCACGGATTACAAATCTGACCTAAAAGTGTAATTCCAAAATGACCCACCTTCCTTCCTAGGGATTTTTAGTTTTTTTAATCTTCTCAAAGTAGATGCAGCCACGCTCCTTAAAGTTCGCCAGCAGCCTTCATCTAGGGCAAATAGATTGAAATAAACAAATAAATTGTGCAACCTCTCTTTTTGAAAAGATCTAGTGGAATCAGCCCATTTAAACTTCTCTACTGTTTCAGATTTTATCCCTGAATCAGAAGATACTGTCCCTGATCAGATTTGATTTCTCGTCCAAGTTCATGGGGTTGAAAGATTCGTCTTGTAGGTAAAGATTTTCTCCTCTGCGAATTGGAACCTGCTTCAATTCGACTCCCATGAGTCATAATCCCCAGTTTTGGTGTTCTGGTAAATAGAATCAACAAAAGCAAGGATGAATATAAAACTTTCTTAATCCAATTCCTGTGAATTTTTATAAAGGTTTGCATCATCGATGAAAACCTTTGCTAGGGCATTTGAGGTTAATTAGCCAATGTGGATGAAGACGTTTATTTCCTCATTTGAGGTTGCTAAAGCCCTTTGCTAGGGCTATTAGAAGGTGAGATATGAAACCCTAAAGATTTATAACTAAGTACTCGTTAAGAGTTACTTTGTAGCCACTCGTTAGTTAAGTTTGCTAAACCCTAGAGATTTATTTCCTCATTTTGCAAGGCCGTTTTTTTCTCATTTCTGGTAGTACGCATACAACTTTTATGGAAAAGCAAAAAACCTACTATATACAGAGACAGACACAAAATAATTGACCAGAAACAAAGACCAGACAGAAAAGAAACAAACCAGATACTACCCAGACCACACAGTCAAGGAGGCTCCTGCCCGAGACAGCTTTGTCCCAAGCTAGTTAGCACATTTTGGAGCCAGGGTGCTGCAGTTCTGGAGTTCCCCCCTCAAAACCCCTTGCTGCAACCAAATGAGCAGCACCCACCCTTCACTATCAACATAGGAGAAACGACACCTGCTATAGGGCTCCCTTTTGAGAGTTTCAAAATATCCCTATCTGATCGATCATGAACAACAAGGCTGGGCTCTTGTTTCAGGAGTCTCGTGGGGCATCTCTAGCTAATTGATATTAATGGGTTTCAACCCTTCATGGAGTAAATTGATTTATGGTATCTATGACTGATGATGACCACCTCGTAGGCTCGTACAAATCCATGCACGCCAGCCTGTACTGCTTGACGTACACCAAACCCAAGCCAAAACCACAAATATTAGTCTGGGCCACGCCGGGGTAAATGCACACCAAAGGCAAAAATACTGCATGGGTGCGTGGCATATGGGGCAGGGACCCACGGTAAAGCTTGGCCACTCCATCCTCTAATTGGTTGTTCCTACGTACTTCAGCTGCCTTAGACCAGTACTGTTCTTCATTTAGGACCAAAACCTTTTGGTTGTGGAGGAGTCTTATGGTTTATCTTCAATCTTGATCTGTATGCACTTAATCACCTTTAGAGCAACGTGGGGAAAAATTAACTTAATCAGGGTCATGGAGTTTCAATTTTGTTCTTCTCCCCTAAGATTGATTGCCATGGCGGGTGAAGCTAGCTACTAGAATTGTTCTAGGTAGACAATAACCTTCATCTTCATGGTTTAATTTAATTTGATGTACAAGCTTCAAGCTCTTTCTTTAGAATCAAGCTATATTTGGGAGGGTTTACCCAATGAAGTGATACAAAACCTAGCTTATATTTTGTATTATTTTGTATGCATTTGTACTCTTTCCAATAAACTGAGCCTTAGTTTCAACTTCCATACTAGAACTGCAAAGGATCGGCTTTGAATTGGATTGTGTGTGTATATATACATACATATAAAACAAAAAAAAAAAAATTAAAAATATTATCAATAAAAAACTAGAATGTATAACATCCAAACCAATTTTACTAATAAATCTGAATTTTGTGTAGATGTATACATATGTATTTAAATGTTATCAGTGTATATCAAATCGAATGCTCCAATATTAATAAATAGATTAAAATTGGGTTGCCTTAATTGGGTCGGGTTTCAAATTTGGAGCAGCCCTAGCATGATCTGTCCATGGAAAGTGGTACACTGTAATAAAATATCATATTTACATTGTAGAATCATCCTCTCTCTATCTGCATAATGGCTACACTCTCTGTATCTGTATGTATGGCTTACCCTTATAGCAACTGTCCGACATCACTCTATATATAATTTCATTCCAAATTGGGAGCAACGACCAAGGAATTGAAGTTGATTCATTTATCATTTTAACCAAAACCTCGGACTCGGAGTCCATTTTAACCCAAACCCTCGTCAGACCCAGTTCATCACAAAGTTTCAAGCCATCTAAAAGAGCCTGAGGCTCCTCTTTAATGTTTGAAACCGCCATATAGAAATTTGTAAAAGCTAAAAGAGGCTCGCCATCATTATCTCTAATTACTCCTCCCCCACTTCCAAGGATTTTCAATACTTAGATTTAAGAATGTTCAAACCAAGTTCAATACATTTACCACGTTACACCTAATTTTTAACTTTATACATTTCCTTAATTATAAGGGTTTTATTATGTTAAAAAGGTTATATAAAAATATTTTTAAGTCTTAATTTCTAATAACCAGAATATCCTAACTTCTAGCAGCTACAAAAGAAACTGAGAGATCGTATGGTAACAGCTAAAGTAGCTGAACTGAATGACTCATATACTGCTTTGTCTTTGAGTGAAGTGGTTATTTAGGAGGTTCTAAGCTCCTCATCTATGGCTGAAGTTGGATTGATTATATATATTCTCGAATATTTTATTTATTTATTTTGTCCATCAAAAGACTAAGATATAAGTCATTAAATTCATTATTCAGCCACTTTAGCCATTATCAAAGGACTCCTTATAACATTAAAAAAATGATCAAACAAAATCAATTACACATTAATTATGACCTTATCCTTTTATATATATGGATAGATATTATTCAGGAGAGTGGATTGACTAACAGATCATCCCTAAGGCTATGTTTGGTTTGAAGGAAAAAGTAGGGAAAAGAAGGGAAAGGTAGGAAAACCTTTACAAACCTTGTATAGGTTTCCCTGTCAATCCCTTCCTTTCCCTACCTTTTCCTTCAAACCAAACATAGCCTTAAATGTCTTGGGGATCCTCAACCCACCCTTGATCCCAACTATTTGGGATCAGCTACAAAAAATCTTGTCTTGCCAGTACCAAGAGCCATGTAATTTCTATCATATTATAAGTTGACGTAAGGACTTCATTCACAAGACAAATTTCAGTCCTGAAGCAACTGCTACATGCCAAT